CGGCCAAGGAATGGAACGCGTCCGAGAGTACAACCACGGAGGAGATGGAGCGATGCGAATCCGCGCGTGTTCAGGCGCTCCGTGGATCATTCCATCGCACAGGTCCGCGAGAGTTGACCGCGGCGGCGGCGGTTGCTGCTGCTCGGGTCTTCATCCGCCAGTTGACAAGGTCGCTGCTGATGATGATCCATGACCCGTATCTCGGGCGCGTGTACCTAACCTCTTCTCGCGCGTGGATCTCATCACTAAGGGGAAAATAAAACGCGTGACCCATGGACGGGTACCACCGTAGCGGCGGCAGCGAGGCCGGGGGGGGGGGGTCACAGCTGTGACCCGGTCGCAGCTCTGCAGGCGCGAGATAGGAGCGAGGTGAGCGGTCACCCCCCCTCCCCCTTCCCGTGGGAGCGCTTCTCAAGGCAGCGAGGACCAAATGACATTCACACAATCCGAGCAGTTGCCGCAGGAGCACACGCGGTGCGCATCCACCTCTGCTCAGCCTTCAACAACAACAACAACAGCAGCAGCAACAGCAGCAACAGTTTGTGATACTGCGATGGCAGTGGTCAATATTTGTTTGTGGCGTTAGGCCACGAGGTGGTGGTTTTTATGCCCAAATTCGTGTCGTTAAACCCTCCACCACCCGACAAAATTGTCACGTTTTGCAGAGGTGATATTCAAACGCGCCGATGTTTTGATCGTGACCAATAAAGATCCTCGGTACCGGTGGCTTTCAGAGAATCCCCACGACTGAAAAGTCCCCAACATCAACGTACGACGACGTTTCGCTCCCACTGCCCAACGGCTTCATCGGGCAGTGATCCCTGGGAATGGAGTGCGCACCACGACGCATCACGGCGCATCGCGGCCACAAACAACTGCCCTCTCTAACTACAATCCACCCCAATCTCTCTCCGGCCATTGCCCGGAATGTCGCCTGTTCTAAACGTTTTACTCTGCAGGGCAGTGCCATTTTCCCAGTCTTGCCGGATGTTGGTGACTATTTTGAGTGTTCTTTCCCTCGCACGATTGCCTTGTCTCCGGCGATTCTCACGTTCCTCTGGCTCGCACAACACTTGCAAGATAACTCATTGTTAAAATGACAAAATGTATCCGGGAAAGCCTCGCCGAGTCACTACATTGCTGTTGTCCTTCCAATTCCCAGCTCCGATTAGCACGGTTGCGAACATACAAATCGGGACCTTCTTGCAAACGAGTCTTGAAACTCGTCCAAACACCAGTACGCTCCCACTCCAAGCAGACACCCTAGAACAGTCGGCTTCGGGCCACCTCGGGGCCAACTCAGCCTGAAATGAGGTTTCACCTGGAAGCAGCCACTGGGTGAGTTGTCATGGAAAGACGAGGGCTTCGCGAGTGGTCCGTTAAGAGGCCGCGTCAGAGACACTGAACCGGCAGCGCCGAGATTCTGGTTTCAAAATCGATCTGCGGCCTCCCGCGATTAAACAACTGCAAGCTCGTGGTATCAGCCCGGCCACCGATAAATGCACACACACACACACCTCGCATATCTATTTGTGTTTCGCTTCATTTGCCTTAGAAGTAGAGTACAACAATGTATGTGTCGTCGTGCTGCCCTCTGCTGCCCAACACACATCGCCGCGGCAGCTGACAACATGCGCCTGTTCCGTGCGCGTCAGTGGCTCCTCACACACAGCCCGGCGAACCAGGTTCAAACCCGCTTCGCGTCATACTCTTAGTTCTTTCGGTAAAGTCACGTAGGTAAAAAATGAAATTTAAATTAATAAAAAAATATAAAAAATAATATCACGACGTTTCGGAGGCAACACAAGCTTCCGTCTTCAGGTGGAACTGTTGCGTCGACGGTATCTGACCACACCGACTAAATCGTGGATGATGTGGACCCCCGCCGTAAGAACGTGGAATTCCCACCGCTGGCTCGGGACAGAGATGATGGGGGCATCACCCAACGCTCGTATAAACACGGTAACACTTTGTCTGTGTGTGTGTGTGTACACATGTAGGGGAGTGGTGGCGCAGTGGTTAGCGCACTTCACTGCTAACCCGGCGAACTGAGCTTAATTCCCGCTGACGGTCAACATCAGTGACGATTATCTGAACCGGTCCAGAGCCTCGCCTAGGTCGACTTAGCCTCAAATTAGTACCTGGTGCGGTGTGTAAACATCGCCTCTAAAGGAGACAAAGGCGGCCGGCCGTGGTCTTGGCCACCCACCCCCTCGTGTGCCGTGCCGGCCTTCATAGGTGCTATGAAGGCACCTGTCCCAAAAATCCAAGGTTATACGGGGGGTCTTTCTCTTTGTCGTGAGACCTTGTGCAGTGCCATCGCCTGCACCCCCACGCTTCGAACATGCAAGCTGTGGACTAAGACTAATGGGAGCAGATGCAAAGTTGAGTTTGCTGCTCCCTATCCTGTTCTCGGGATCCAGGCTTGAAGGAGGAGGGATGAGGACGGAGGAGGGAGGACGGAGAGTGATTGCAGCACGCAAGGTGTGTGGCGGTGACGGAGAGGGAACACGGTGAGAGGAGCACACCGCTCCTGTGCGTGTCACTCGCATCTCTGATTCATTACCCCGGCTGATGATGAGTGTGATTGTGTTATAAGCAGGCCACGAGGACAATCAGCCGCTTCGTCTGGTTCGTGGTTGACACAACAACAACAATATAAAAAAAACGTTGCGCCTGCCTGCTAAGATCGTTACCGTAGTCTTTGAATTACGAGACGCTCTGGAAAGTAAGATGCACCCCCATTAATGCGTGTCCGGTGGCTTTAAACTTATACAAATGTGGTCGCACACGCACCGACCGGATTAATAGACGCACCCACAAACTTTTGCTCTTAAAACACATCAAGGAGGGACAACGCGTCTTATAATCCGGACACTATGGCGATGGGGTTTTTTGTGCTTTAGCGCTGTCAATGTGTCTGTCTGTCTGTCCGTCACGGGGAAGGGTGGGGGGCGCGATAGCTCTCGGGAGACGTCGTTCAGCGTGGACTAAACTTTACACTAAAGTTTCGTTGCTGCTCTAAAGGGAGTCGCCGGCTTTGAGAAACACGGACGCATCAATCAATCGGGAGCTCGAGACGCGATAGAAATCCCGTGCGCCCGGAGCAGAGACCGCCGCGACACCGTTATAATCGAGAACTCATTCGTTGATTTGCTTGATACATTATGAACAAAAATTAGAAACCCCTTCTGGCAATAAAACAGGTGTTAAGATACTCTTAGTTTTTTCGGTAAAGTCACGTAGGTAAAAAATTGAAATTAAAATTTAAAAAAATAAAATAATAAAAAATCACCACGTTTCGGAGGCAACACAAGTCTCCGTCATCAGGTGGGACCGTCACAGCCAGATTTGCTGTATCAAGTGAGGTGTTGTCTCCGAAACGTCGTGATTTTTTATTATTTTATTTTTATTAATTTTTATTTACATTTTTTACCTACGTGACTTTACCAAAAAAACTAAGAGTATGAATCCTTGCACTCACGAAAGCTTCAAATCTAGGTGTTAAGATGTTCAAACACCAAATGGAAACCTTTTGCAAGGAATCGTGGGAAGCATTCACCGGTGAGACACTCGGCCCTAAAGGAGGTTTTTTTTCTGGTGTGGGCCAATCATTTTCAAAGACAATGCATCATCTTAATGATCAGAGGCATCTTCTTGGTTCTTTCGGTAAAGTCACGTAGAAGAGAAATAATAAAATTATAAAAATTAAACATAATAAAAGAAAATTCTCACGACGTTTCGGCCACAACGCAAACAGCCGTCCTCAGGTGAAGAGCAGGGTTGTCTGAAAGACAGCGTCCCAATGAACACGGCCAAGCTTGGCAGCGTATATTTAAGCTGGGTTAGAGGAGGAGGGCGCCTTGACAAAAGAGTTTACATATCAACAGAGGAATTTAGCATATTTATGGAAAATGCAGATATGGGATTAGTCACTACTTGTGGAATGTGTAGGTGGGGGGGGTCTCAAAGTCATATGATGCTCGTGTATTATGTAGGATTAGCAGTAATAAAGGGAGGAAGTAGGATTCGCTTTTTTTCATACTTTGATACTGGCAAAAAAATATCCCGTCTTGATATATCAATTAGTGAATGCGTGCGTGCGCTTCCCGGAACAAACGCATTCATTCTGTTCGTAACATAATCCATGCGCGCGCATTTCTTTTTCTTCCTTGAGTTCTTTGTTGTTGTTGTTGTGGCAGAGTGTCGGATTTTAATTCGCGTGAGCCAAATCCCTTTGCGATGTTTCTTGTTGTTGATAGCTAGCTGGCTGTCAGGTTTTCAATCCCGGGCAATTATTAGCCGAGGCCCCTCGCGAGCCGTCGAGTCCTGTACGCCTTATTGAATTAAACTCCGCTCAGTACTAGTTCTCCCTCCGGCACCGAAGGTAATGGCAGTAATCGCCTGCTTTGAGAGTAGAGTGTCCCTGCATTTGTGACAGACAAACAAACCAAGAAGGTGAAGAGATAAAGGAGCAGCCCCGCTATCGCTCTCTCGGACCACTGCTGGCGGAAGGGGTGGGCCTTCGCTAGAGGGAGCTCGAGACTGGTGTTGTGGAATACTCTTGCACACGTCTAGGAGGTGCTGGGAGTTACCCACACTTTACCCCACCTCCTACAGCTCCTAGAGGCCGCGACATTCACCACGAACTTTCGAAAGAGAATCGTTCCGGACCGACATGGGTGCTCGCGAACAGCACTTGTCCCAACAGTCTGTTCAGGTGACACTGGTTATCGTTGTCTTCGTATGTGCCCGTATGTTCGCCTGTCATCTGTGTGTGTACAGGATATGCTTGAGTGTGTCTGTGGCTGCCTGTGTGTATTTGTGCCTGTGTGTCTGCGTGTATGTGTCAGTGTGTGCCTATGAGTGTTTCTGTGTGTCTTGGTGTGTCTCCCTGCATGTTTGCCTGTGTGTGTGTCTGTGCGTACCTCTGTGTTTGTGTAGTGGGCCAACACCAGTGACGATTATCTGTACGGATCCTGGGTCTCCTCTAGGTCGACTCAGCCTCAAATGAGTACCTGGTGCAAGGTGTAAATATTGCCAGTCGGGAGACAAAGGCGGCCGGGCGTGGTGCCGGCCACCCACCCCCTCGTGTGCCGTTCCGGCCTTCATAGGTGCTCGCTAACAGCACTTGCCCCAACGGTCTGTTAAGGCTATACGGGGGATCTTTGCCTTTGCATGTGTGTGCGTGCCTCTCTGTGTGTGCGTGCCTCTCTGTGTGGGCATGCCTCTTTGTGTGTGCGTGCCTCTCTGTGTGTGCGTGCCTCTGTGCGCGCGTGCCTCTGTGCGTGTGTCCGTCTGTGCACGTCCGTGTGTGTGTGTGTGCACGTGGCGAGCGAGCGAGGGAGCGCGTGGATCTGTCGCTCCCCGCGGCGCGCGCCTGGCTGCGAACGCACTCGGGCGCGAGCGGGCAGGGCAGATGGACGCTCGCGTCTCTCCGGCACTCAGCCCCATCAGCCGCGTCTCATCTCCCCCTCCCGTCGTCTCGTGGTTTCTCCAGCCTCTCCGCCACACCTTCATCGCCGTCTCTCCTTCTGAGGCGTCGTCTGTCCCACTACAAAACCTCTCCATCTCCCTGCACCTCCCCTTCTCTCGTTCCTTCTTAATCTCATCCGTCTACCCATCTCTCTCTCTCCACTTTCTTACTTTCGCGTTTCTTTCTAACACCGCACTCGCGTTGAAACTCTCCCTTACCCTGCCGGCGGCGTCTTAGCAGCAGCAGTATAGCCAGTCCATCACACACTCGCGACCTCCTGTCTCTCGCTCTTCACGTCTCGCACGTGTGCGCTCTCTCCAACACGGAGCGGCGCATCTCGCCTCCCGCAGCGAGCGAGAGGTTTAGAGGGAGCGAGCGAGCGCACGAGCGCGTGAGTGGAACGAGGAGCAGGAGGAGAAAGCGTCTACAAGAGACAGGAGAGAACTCGCCCTCCCGCCGGGCAGCACTGCGAATGAACAGACGGAGACAGGACAAGGCACAGAGACAAACGCAGAGAGACACACAGAGAAGGAGAGAGATAAAGAGAGCGTTGTGCGCGAGCCCTTGCCCATGGAGGAGAGAGTGCCGACCAGTCCGGGGGCTCTCGGAGGCTCATGGAACCTGAGCCGTCTCGACTTGGCCATCAACGGAAGCTACCCGGGCATGCAGGAGCACATCGTGAGCGCCATCGTCGTCCCCGTCATCTTCTTCGTCATCTTCCTGCTCGGCATCGTGGGCAACTCGCTCGTCATCCTCGTGCTCGTGCGCATCAAGTTCGGCAAGTCGCACAGCATCACCAACGTGTTCGTGCTCACCCTGAGCGTGGCCGACCTCACCTTCCTGTTCTTCTGCGTGCCCTCCGAGGCCACCTACTACTTCCTGCCCGACTGGGTGTTCGGAGCCTTCCTCTGCAAGGGCGTCCCCTACGTCTTCACCGCCTCGATGCTCGTGAGCATCTTCACGCTCGTGGCGATGTCCGTGGATCGCTACATCGCCATCGTGCACGCGCGGCGCGCCGCCGCGGTGCGCTCCGTGCGTCGCGCGCTCGGCGCCGTGAGCGCGCTGTGGCTGCTGTCCCTGGTGCTGGCCGTGCCCAGGGCTCACTACCACACCATCGTGGTGTACAAGGAGCACGGCAACTTCTGCTGGGAGGTGTGGAGCCACAAGAATCTCAAGAGCACCTACAGGGCCGTCATCTTCTCGCTCGGATACCTGCTGCCGCTCGTGCTCATCAGCGCCTGCTACGCACGGGTGGGTTGCGTGCGCGCGCGCGTGCGTTTGGCGTGACTGGTTGGGGGAGCGGTGGGGGAGCGGTTAGCGCTTGCGTTGCGCCACGAGTCTGGCGACCCGAGTTCGAATCCCGCTCACGGCCAACACTAGTGGCGAATATCTGAATCGTTCACGGGCCTCGCAATAGGACGATTCAGCCTCAAATGAGTATCTGGTGCGGTTTGTAAAATAATCGCGACTGGGGATACAAAGGTGGCCGCGAGTGGTGCTAGCCACCCACCCACCCGATCGTGTGCCGTTCCCGCATTCATAGGTGCACGCTAACAGCACTTTCCCCAACAGTCTATCAAGGCTATACGGGGGATCTTTGTATTTGGCGTGAATGGTGAGCGTCGTTTAGGCACCATCGGCACCGGCATGATGAACATCACAATCAGCAGCAGCAGCAGCAACGTGATGATGATCATCGTCGTCAGTAGCAGTATCGTTCGCAGCAACTGTTTCAGAATCACCAGCATCACCGTCAGTCGTGTTCGATCCACTGCTGGATAAAGGATTCCCACGCCGTCGCCCCAATCCCAGGCGGTCTCGAGTTGCCACGACCAGTGTCTCTCTTGCCCATGAGCCGATCTCATCGCTCCATCTCTCCGCGGTGGTCGTCGTCGCAAGGCGCGTTTCTCTCCTTTTGCTGCCATTCCTTCACTCGTCTCCTCCATGCCCCCCCCCCACCCCCCGCGGCTCCTTCCAGCTCCGTGTCCTGCCCACGCCGACGGCACACTGTTGTTGTTGGTTAACAGTCAATGCGAAGTCTCCGCTTTGTCCTTAATCCCCCTTTTTCCCACGTGCTCCTCTTGATGTCGCTCAATGTGTCATTCCGCTGAGCTGCATCTATCGCGCCGTGCTTCTTTGCGCACTTTCCGCCCTCTTGTTCCGTTTGCGTGCCAGCGGTTGCGCGAATTTGACGCGTATGTCGTGGCTCACCGAGCGACTCAAGTAGACTTGGCCGGTACAATCCTCTCAGTCTCAAGACTCTTTGGCAGGAGGGTCCTAGATGCGCGCTAGGACCCTCCTGCAAAATCCCCGGGTGCGCAGAGTATTCGGGGTAGTCCCGTGCGTACGAGGCGAATCGCGCTGAAACCCCGAGGCAGAAGCCTGCTTCTTGTTCCGCTTTAACTTGTCCACCTCGTTGGGAATGATCAGATACGTGGTCATCTTAACGTGATACACCAACCCCGCCTCCGAAGCGCTGCATCACAAGCGTTCGCTGTAACAGCACAGCGCGTTTTTGCTGCAGCATCGATACGGTGTCTCAATGGGCTTTCGCGCGGTTTAATAAAGGGACGTTAATCCATCAACAAATCAATATTATATTTATTTATTTAAGCACAGGTTCCGCGGGTGGGACTTGAGGCCGGCTGATTGGATTATGATAAACGCGAATTGTTTACGAGAACAGCTGAAGTGACCAAATCACCCTGGAACGCGCTCGATCACTTTCACAAATCACTCGCCATCGGCCGTAGACCCGTAGCCGAGAATCGAACTTAGGTTGCGATGATCGGAGCGCAGTGCGCTAACCACTGCGCCACCCCTCCCCCTTACCAATGCAACATTTAGTCATACGAATCTATTAATCGACGTTTGATTGATAATTCGACGCTTCTTTACATCATCGAATGCGCCGGAAGGGTAATTATGGTATTGGGACAAGGACAGAATACGCTTTGGTGGGTGGGGGGAGGCAACTGTAGCAGCAGAGAGAGAGGAGGGGAGTGGAGCGTAACAATATTAATCTATGGAGGTGCAGCATATGGCTTGCCCCCCCCCCCCCCCCCCACCTGTGTGTTGCAGGACCTCACTGCCTGCACCACCACCACTATCTCCACACGCCCTGTGCACAACTGCCAGCGTCAGCGGTAGTCCACGCGGCGTGCGCGCGCAGAGCGCCACGGGGGGGAGGGCGTCTTTAGAGTGCTGCTTGTGCAGCCGTTTGTCTCTCGAGTGCGCAGGCGGTGCAACTGCACAGGGGAAACGAATAATTCCACTACGACTATCACTTCCTCTGCTGCGCCTGTACAGCCCTCTGTCTGAGTGAGAGAGGGCCTCTTAGCGCCAGCGTGGGACCATCTGTCCGTACTTAATTTGGAGCTTTCGTGACTGCAGGAATTATTCTTTAGTTCTTTCGGTAAAGTCACGTATAAAGATAAAATAATAAATTAAATTAAATACTAGCATACGACGTTTCGATTGCAACACAAGCAATCATCATCAGGTATAAATTAAATAGAAACACAAATCTAGTATAATACAACAGAGAGTCGGGTAACATAACAGTCAACACCCTATCTGGTTGATTACGTTCTTCCTGAGAATGCTAAAATTTGAGAGAGAGATAAAACACAAAACCAGAGACATATAGACAGACATATAAGCAGACAGATATCACAGAGATACATAGAGAGAGCACAAACATATGAACACTGATGATATGTCCGTATTTCTAGATTTGAAGCTTTCAGTGACTGCAAGGATTCATATTCTTAGGTTTTTTCGGTAAAGTCACGTAGGTAAAAAAAATTAAATTAATAAAAGTAAAATAAAATAAAAATCACGACGTTTCGGAGGCAACACAAGCTTCCGTCTTCAGGTGGAACCGTCACAGCCACGACAGCTGTATCAAGTAAATGAGAGATTACAAGAGCTACCACTCCGTATATATAATGGTTGAAGAGGGGAAGGGCCAAGTACTTCACCATCGTGCACTGGACGTTGCCGCACCGCCGTCGAGATGGTGCCCATCACGTAGCCCCAGCTGTTGTGCGCGTGGCGGTCGCCCATTCGAGCACGACCCAGGCTCTCGATACCCCGCTTAGCCTCGGAGATCCGACAGTCGAGATCGCGCGCATTTGGTCACAGGCGAATCACTGACATTGAAATGTCTGGAGCGGGCAAAACATACGGACGATAGAACGAACTTGCCTGCGTTGAAGCCGCATTGCCTGACACGGCACGGTGATGTCACGCGGGGTGTAGAGACAGATACATGAGTCTGGCTGTGTGATCATAATGATGATGATGGTGTAAATGCTGCTGCTGCTGCTTCTGATGAGGATGATAATGGCGTTCATCTCATGTTCACACTTCTAAATGCTTTGTTTTTTTGTTTAATGCCAATAAGAAACACTGCCAGCAGCAGTACGGTGATGATTGTTATTTCGTGTAATTAGTGGTGGTTATTGTTAAGTGGTGATGGTGATCATGTTTAATTAGTGGTGGTGGTTATAATTTAATTAGTAGTGGTGGTTATTGTTTTATTGGTGATGGTGGTAATGTTTAATTGGTGGTGGTTATTCGTGGTGGTGGTGGTGGTGGCGATGTTTAATTGGTGGTGCTGGTGCCATATTGAGACCGGATAAATCCTCGTGTGAGCATCTGTCAGGTTGTTGCTCGCGTGCAGCCGACCGCCCACACTGCTGGAACGAGCAGTCTCCAGACACCCGTCTCAGCAGCTCTCTGCACGAACCCCATTGCACGCACCCCCTGCAACCACCCTCCTGCACGCACCCCCTGCACCCACCCTCCTGCACGCACCCCCTGCACCCACCCTCCTGCACGCACCCACCTGCACCCACCCTCCTGCACGCACCCCCTGCACCCACCCTTCTGCACCCACCCCCTGCACCCACCCCCTGCACCCACCCACTACACCCACCCCTTGCAACCACCCCCTGCACCCACCCTTCTGCACCCACCCCCTGCACCCACCCCCTGCACCCACCCTCCTGCACCCACCCCCTGCACCCAATCCCTGCACCCACCTCTTGCACTCACTCCCTGCACCCACCCCCTGCACCCACCCTCTGCACCCACCCTCCTGCACCCACTCCCTGCACCCACTCCCTGCACCCACCCCCTGCACCCACCCCCTGCACCCACTCCCTGCACCCACCTCTTGCACTCACTCCCTGCACACACTACCTGCACCCACCCTTCTGCACCCACCCCCTGCACCCACCCCCTGCACCCACCCTCCTGCACCCACCCCCTGCACCCACCCCCTGCACCCACCTCGTGCACCACACCCCCTGCACCATCCCTGCACCCACCACCCTGCACCCACCCCCTGCACCCACCCCCTGTACCGACCTCACTGCAGCCCACCTCCCTGCACCCACCCCCCTGCACCCACCCCGTGCACCCACCCCCTGCACCCACCCCCTGCACCACACCCTCCTGCACCCCACCTCCTGCACCCACCCTTGCCACCCACCTCCTTGCCCCAACCCCTGCACCCACCCCCCTGCCACACACCCCCTGCACCCACCTCGTGCACCCACCCCCTGTACCCACCCCCTGCAACCCACCCCCTGCACCCACTCTCCTGCACCCACCCCCCTGGCACACACCCCCTGCACCCACCCCCTGCACCCACTCCTGCACCCACCCCCTGCACCCACCCCCCTGCATCCCACCTCCTGCACCCACCCCCTGCCCCACCCACTGCACCACCCCTACACACCACCCCCCTCGCCACTCACCTCCTGCACCCACCCACTACACCTCACATCCTTGCAACCACACCTCCTGCCACCCACGCCTGCACCCACCCCCTGCACCCACCTCTCCTGCACACCCACCCACTACACCCACCCCCTGCACCCACCTCCTGCACCCACCCACTACACCCACCTCCTGCACCCACCTCCTGCACCCACCCACTACACCCACCCCCTGCACACACTCTCTGCACCCACCCCCTGCACCCACCCCCTGCACCCACCCACTACACCCACCCCCTGCACCCACCCCTTGCACCCACCCCCTGCACCCACTCCCTGCACCCACCCACTACACCCACCCCCTGCACCCACCCCCTGCACCCACCCCCTGCACCCACCCACTACAACCCACCCCCTGCACCCACCCCCTGCACCCACCTCCTGCACCCACCCCCTGCACCCACCCACTACACCCACCTCCTGCACCCACCCCCTGCACCCACCTCCTGCAACCCACCCCCTGCACCCACCCCCTGCACCCACCCCCTGCACCCACCTCCTGCACCCACTCCCTGCACCCACCCCCTGCACCCACCTCCTGCACCCACCCCTTGCAACCCACCCCCTGCACCCACTCCCTGCACCCACCCCCTGCACCCCCTCCTGCACCACCCGCCTGCACCCACCCCTGCCAGCACCCACCTCTCACCCCATGCACCCACCTCCCTGCAACACCCCTGCACCCACCTCCTGCACCCACTCCCTGCACCCACCCCCTGCACCACCTCCCTGCACCCACCCCCCTGCACCCACCTCCTGCACCCACCTCCTGCACCCACCTCCCTGCACCCACTCCCTGCACCCACCCCCTGCACCCACCTCCTGCACCCACCTCCTGCACCCACTCCCCTGCACCCACTCCTGCACCCACCCCCTGCACCCACCTCCTGCACCCCACTCCTGCACCCACTCCCTGCACCCACCCCTGCACCCACCTCCTGCACCCACTCCCTGCACCACCCCCTGCACCACCTCCTGCAACCCACTCCCTGCACCCCACCCCCGCACCCACCTCCTGCACCCACTCCTGCACCCACCCCCTGCACCCACCCCCTGCACCCACCTCCTGCAACCACTCCCTGCACCCACCCCCTGCACTCCACTCCTCTGCACCCACCTCCTGCACCCACCCCCTACACCCACTCCCTGCACCCACCTCCTGCACCCACCCACTACACCCACCCCCTGCACCCACCCTCCCTATTTTTCAAACCACGGTCGCTGAGCACAGGCTCAAAGTCCAGGCGGCCGGTAACAAGCAGCGCCATTGAAGCCGTCATTGATACGAGTTAGTAGAATGTTTGAATGGAGCAAGGTTACAAGAAGAGTTTGAGAAAACGAGACTACGGGAGGCAATTCCGTAGATGAGCAGTGTGGGAAAAGAATCCGAAAGAGAAGGGGTTTCACCTGCAGTGTAGTGGTTGACCACAGCGTGGGGTGACGTGAAAAAGACATAAAAAAAGAGATGCGGAGCTCATCGGATTCCTCCGGTATAAAATAGAGATTCTGATTGTGGCAGCGACGTGGGTTCGTGCGGTCACGTCGTCTCGCGCAGGGGCCGCCCCAGGTACTGCCGCGCAGTGTAATGACCGTGACAATACGGCAGGCCATCTGCTTCACGGTGGACTTTAAAGATCCCGTGACTCCGTTCGCAAGGGGAGGCCCATTGCGTGCCAGCATCAGGGTCACATATTCGGCAAACTTCCAAAATTGCACCGAAAAATTATATTCTATTGGAACTATGCACCGCAATAATCGCCTCCACCGGTACTGGCAGACTCATGCCTCTCAGGTCACCTGCAAATGAGATTCATCCTAGTATCCTTGAGTTTGCACCTGGATAAACGTAACCAAAATTAACTTGCTTGGAGGAACAATGCACTCGCCATCCCTGCATCCACATACCCCGCCCCCCACCCCGAACCCACCACCATTGTTATGATGCAGCGCATCTCTCTCGTCTCCTCTCTCCGTCTCTCTGTCTCCTTCTCCTCGTATCCCCCACAGGTGGTCTCCCACGTGCACAGAAAGATCCAAAACACATCAAAAAAATCCATCATGTCCAAGAGAAAGGTATGGCTCTTCTGTTGCTGTGTCGCTCATTGTGTCGACGGAACGCGTGCGCTCAACATATTTAAATTAGAATGCACACAAAGAGAATAATGACAATTATACCTGAGCCCAAACCACCAATTACGGGGATTACTCCGAAATCACCGAATCAGAGAGGCAGTGCAAGAAATTGGCCTAAAGAGTCGTACATTAAAATCATTTCATCGGCAGAATACGAGGTTGTCAGTCCATCCATCACCAACGTCAATGGGTCACATTCGACTCTGTTGCGAATAAAATATACTTGAAAATCAATGCTATTACAAATACGCTGTCAGGAGGTAGGGCATTTCCGAAGATAGGCGTGGGGGTAATGGTGGCGTTACGATCGTGGCAAACTGATCTTGCTCGGGGAGTGAAACGTCCCTGTTGGGACTGGTCTGCGAAACGTGACAACGCCATTCGTTTAACTTCTGCACTAGGGCCATCGAGTCCCTGCCACAGTGGTGTAATGGTTACCCCACGCCGGACGACACCCGGCCTTGTTGTATGTTAGCAGGCAAGCTGTTGTGCACAGGTTCGCTTGCCACCCCTCTGGATTTCCGAGCGAACGTGGGGGGGCTAATGCTGCCACGGTGGTGTAGAGGTGAACGAACTGGGCTTGCAATCCAGAGGTAGCCAGTCAAATCCACCGCCCGCCGCCACCCGCAAGAATAGTTGAAACAATCGTGCGAGCTCTTCAAAACAAATCTCGCTGCCTCTGCCCACCCAGCAGTATTGAGCTGATTTGATGTGTTACCGCCTTGTTTAGCCAGTTTCCCTCGGCTATGTTACACGGGAGATTCGCGGTGCGTGCGCACAGCAGCAGCGGCAGCAGCAAAAACACATCAACGGTGCAGAGAACGAGTACAGCAGGGTCCTTCGGGAAAGTATAAAAAATAGGTTCACCACAAGTTAATTGATCGACAGTACCGCGTGCGATGGGGTAAAGTGTGGGTGCTTCCACCTCTTCCAAGACGTCTGGCCTGTGTGGAAGAGTGGATATAAACAGTGCTCACTACTGTGCAGAATATTGGAAAATGACGAGATAGGTTGGACAGGAGACACAACGAAGAAGACTGCAGGGGCTCTGCATAGCTCCCTCTAGTGAAGGGCCCCCTTCTGCCAGCAGTGGTGTGAAGGGGCAATTGCAGGGCTGCTCCTTTACCCACCCTCACAGGGAATGTAACGGTGCGAGTGACCTGCAGCCTCGTCCACGACCCAGTCCACGTCTTTTCTTTGTTCACCTCATCACCTGACTTGGACACACGTGACGATTTGGACACGTACGCAAGTGTGGATCAATATCACCTGGACTTTTGTTTAACTCATTTGCCCGAGCTCCGGGGCCCTACATTGGGATGTTTAGCAGACTCCGTTGGTGTGGGACGAACACCGGAGCATTTCGGAGAAGACACACGCATGGCGACAAGACGACGCGACATGCCATCCGTATAGAACAGACGGGAGATTAGTCCGCACTTTGCAATGCTGGCTTCTCCTGGCGAGCCAGGGTATAGCAACCACGACGCCCTCGGGGAAGGGAGCTTTGCAACATTTGTGTGATCCACCGACCCTTGCCTCCATGGTGCTGCCCGGCAACTGAGTGGCACTGGGCGGTCAGACAAAGCTGATGACGTAGGTCTCTTCTGAGCCCTGCCGTGTGTTCCACGAATGATTGTTTTTAAATAATCCCAGTTGCCGAGCGCAGGGCCCAAAGGCCCACAATTCCAAGGGGACCAGCAACAAACAGCACTATCACAAGGTGAACAGTCTCGGCGTTAAAATGTTTATTCGATTGAGCGAAGGTGATTCGAAGACTTTGGCAAAAAGAGACGATGGGAGAGATCTCCAAAGTGGATCGGTGTGAAAGATGAATCGAAAATGCAATTGTTGTAACCCGCAGTAGTGGTGGTGGTGGTTGTGGTTCATAGGTCAATGCGCCAACCTCTGAACCACTGCTGAACCACACCTCCGATTAGCACGGTTGGCTACGTACGGTGCGAACAAAGTTCAACATACACACAGTTCGGATGAGACGAAACAGTCAGTGCGGTAGACCGAGTGGAGGAATCACCGAGTGAAGCGACAGGGAGGCGGCTGCCTCGGGTACCATCGCGCAAACTCACACCGCCGTTGCCATAGCGCCGGTTGCCGTAGCGACGGCCATCCTCAACAGCGTCGCGTCGTCATGACAATTAGCCACTGAGGAGGGGGCTCATTAAAATGCCACTTCAACTTGCAGCCGTCCATAAAGCCAATTTGATTATTTTCAATTTCACATTGAGCACTTGCGCACCGTTCAATTAACTCAAACTGTCCATACTTGGAGTGGAAATCTTAATGGAACTCGAGCCGCAATCCTGCCTTGTCAACAACACACGCAAAATGGTAATTTAGAATTTCGGGTGGAGGCTCGCCGTTTGCGTTGTCACGTTGACCGGTTGCCACGGTGAGATTGTGGTGACACTGAATTATTTTATCACGCTTGCTGAGCACAGGGCCCAAACACCGCAACAACAACAAGCGCCAAACGGCCAGCCACAAACGCTGTAAAACTAAAACTAAACTATATACTCTTTGGTTCATCTTCTTGGTTCTTTCAGTAAAGTCATGTCGATTTAAACAATAAAATACAATTCTCACGACGTTTCGGCCACAACGCAAGCAGCCGTCCTCAGGTGACGAACAGGTCTGTCGGAAAGTCATTCAGACGCTGTCTTTCCGACAGACCTGTCTTTCACTTGAGGACGGCTGCTTGCGTTGTGGCCGAAACGTCGTGAGAATTTTATTTTGTTATGTTTTATTTTTATTATTTTATTATTTCCCTTCGACGTGACTTTACCGAAAGAACCAAGAAGATTAATCCCTGCAGTCACGAAAGCTTTAAATCGAAATTTACTCTTTGGTTCTTTCGGTAAAGTCACGTCGATAAATAGAATAACTAATAGATGATTAGTTATTAAAGAACCAAAGAGTATGCATTCCTGCAGTCACGAAAGCTTCAAATCAAGATTAAAACTAAACGAGATTTGAAGCTTTCGTGACTGCAAGGATCCATACTCTTTGGTTTTTTCGGTAACGTCACGTAGGTAAAAAATAAAATTAAATAAATGAAAACAACTCAATTAAATCACGACGTTTCGGACGCAACACAAGCGTCCTTCTTCAGGTGGGGACACCGTACCAAAAAAACCAATAAGTATAAAACTAAACTGTTTATTTTACTTTACCAGGTAAGGCCCACACTGAGCTTTGTAGCTCTTTTTAAATCCTTTATATTATGTTCACTTGCTTGCTTGCTTGCGCGCTTACGACCGTGCAAATCTTTCGGTCGTTTTTTAACCCACTTCCCGTGATCCAATCGAGCTGACATTTTGCACACAGACTCGTTGTGCGTGACAATTTATTTTCGTGAAAAAAAATTCCAAAATTTTCCACTTTTTCGGAAAAAAAATTTTTCATATTTAATTTTAAATACCAATGTGATAAAAATGAAACTCTTACTCAAGAAAAACAGAAATTAATAATAAAATAAAACCGATGCCACGCATATAAAGGTTTGTAGTGAAAAACTTTGTTTTTACGGGTTAATTTTTTTAGTAGCGAACTGGCCACAGATGATTGCTAAAACAAAGTGGCTTATGGTGTGAACATTCATTGCAGCCAAATAATCTCAACGCATGTTTCTAACTGTGGACGGAGAAAACCGGAGGAGCCAGAGAAAAAACCACGCGACCACGAGGGAGGACATGAAAACTCCAAATACACAAAAGTCGGGGTCGAACCCACGACCTCCTGTATACCAGAACGAGGCAGTCAACATCTCGCCACCGCGGCATCCATATGCACACCCCACACACATGCACACAGATAAGAGTTAATACGTTTCCTAAATCGAGCAAGGTTATTGTTGTAAGAGCTTAGCCAAGAGCAGAGACGACAGAGGGAGAGTCTGAAGTGGAGCTGTGTGAGGGAAGGAGCAGAGAGAGAAGTGTTTTGACCTGCAGTGTGGTGAATGAGTGGGTGAGTGAGTGGGTCGATGAATGAGTAGGTGGGTGGGTGAGTGGGTGAGTGAATTATTGGGTGGGTGGGTAAATGAGTGATTGGGTAGGTAGGTGGGTGAGTGAGTGATTGGGTAATAGGGTGGGTTGGTGAGTGATTGGGTGGGTTAGTGAGTGGGTCTATGAATGAGTGAGTGAGTGGGCGAGTGGGTGAGTGAGTGATTGGGTGGGTGAGTGAGTGAGTGAGTAATTGGGTGGGTGAGTGAGTGATTGGGTGGGTGGATGAGTGAGTGATTGGGTGGGTGAGTGAGTGAGTTGGTCGGTCGGTGGCCGACTGATTGCGTGGGTGTGTGAGTAATTGGGTAGGTGGATGGATGAGTGATTTGGTGGGTGGATGGGTGAGTGCAGTGTGGTTGTTGGGCACAGTGTGGATAGGACGAAATAGTCGGTCGTCCTAAACATGGATGGAGAAAACGGTGGGTGAAGTTCAATGGAGTGGTAACCATAGTAACAGCGACAGAAGGCTAGCAATGAGGTGCATCTCCGCTGGTAAGCGACTCACAATGGAGTCCTCCACACTGGAGCAGCAGCTGCTGCGGCTGCTGCCACTCCAATACTCTCCATGTCGAGGAACGCATCCTTGGCTCTCCCTGTATCCATGGTTAACCTCAGCTGAAGTGGCTTTTTGCGAGACTAAAAATGACTTGCTGCTGTCTTGTCACGCGCTGTCCATATTTATTTATTTTTAGCCCGGCAAATTCTTTTTACGTCTCAGACTTACAATGAACGTGTACGGCCCTGTTATCGTCTACTGCTCGGCTGTGCATTATTTGACCATACTTTACTGCGCTGGACAGTGGAGGGCTCGTCAACGTCTGAAGAGAGATCCAGGACCGCTTCAGATATCGCACCGCCACTGTGATGTTAGCCACGACAAGAGATTTAACTCTGGTCACGGAGTTCATAAGGTGGTATGCTAACCTCTGCGCAACCACCACCACTTCTTGAGCTATTACTTGGTCTTAAATAAAATAATTGTGTCGTATTGATCTCTGCTTGAGCCTTCAACCCTGCCTCCGAAGCACTGGATTACAAGTGCTTGTCAATGCTCCCATGCCCGGCACAATGAAAATACATTTACTTGTTCTAGATTTGAAGCTTTCGTGACTGCAAGGATTCATACTCTTAGTTCTTTCGGTAAAGTCACGTAGGTAAAAAATGAAATTAAAATCAATAAAAATAAAACAATAAAAATCACCTACGTGACTTTACCGAAATAACTAAGAGTATACATTTACTTGATGTGACGGTGGTCGTCTCATCTGCGGCTCAACATCATCGTCTGTGTCTCCATTGAAGTGGCTGAGCCACCGAGCTGCGATGCACACCTAGAATTAGTCAGAAGTTCCACGGTTACCTTTTACGCATGGAAACTCATTTCCGTTACACATGCTCATGAAGACCCATCGATCTGCGTTCGCTAGCAATTTCCACGGCAGGCACAGAGCTGTAAACACGGTAATTGCAGTCCCCAAACACTCGTGTTAGTGGGAAACCACTTAGAATTTTGACTTTTGGCAGCTCACCACGGAACATGTGTCATGGCAGTCTTTGTCAGCACAAGGTGGACATGCTAGACATCTTTGTGCATCTCCGATTAGCACGCTTGGCTACATGTGGTAAGAAAGAAGTTTAACATACGTACGTACAAAAAGTGTCATATCTAATCGGATTTCTCCAGGATACATAAAGATTCAGATTTTTCCACAAACCTAAATATTTAACGTTTCTTTCCATTGCCCTTTTTACACTTTTTATTTATTTCTGACCATTCACAACCCTTTGTCAGTCGTGGGGGTTTGTTTGACCATACTTGACCATGCTTGGTCAGTGCCGGTAGATGAAGGGAGAATTAAACGTCAGGTCGTCGGGTTCATAGGTCAATGTGCCAACCACTGAGCCAGTGCTGAACCGCACCTCCCATCAGCACCGTTGGCTGCGTACGGTGCAAAAGAAGTTCAACATGCATACATGAACCCTCTTTCTTAACCCTTTCCACCTAAGGTTGAAAGCGGTAATGCATTAGCTCTGTCTGCCCGTCTGTGACGGGGGGGTAGGAGGCGGGTCACGATAACGCTCGTGGAGGCGATCCAATTACAACAAAATATGGCCGTCGAGTTATTTTGCGGTTTAGGCATTTGACCTGTCGAGAACCAGGCATAAAAGGGGCCGGCCAATCTCGCTGAACAAACCCCGGCGTTAATTAACACCGGACTCAAGGCCCCTTGACGATGGCACCACGCGCCGTCGTCTGTTATGACGAACAACGCAAACGAGCCGGTACAGGTCAAGGTGAAAATCCATCGATGTTGGAATCGAATTTCCACCCTCGTGGCCAGCTGTCAGCCTGCCAGCCACGTGACCCATCCAACCACCTCCCTTACCCTCTAACTCAGGGCCTGCCTTGGTGGTGGAGATGTTGTGGCGGCCGTCGTGTGACCGAGTGGTAGAGATATGCAGGTTCTATCCCGGTGGCTGCCCTGGATAACATCAGCCAGTGTCTTAACCAGAAATATGCACGGTCTGCTTGGAAACAACCACTTCGCAATGCCTTCACCCCGCTGGCAGACTCGTGCCCATTTGCAAGCCGTTCACCTTGTGCAACAAAGGGACAGCTACCACTGGGGGTCCCCCTTGGCTCGACTGCAGCAACAGTATTGGAACGGCTGAACTGACATTTGACAATAGGCGCTTTGACTTGCTGAGGCGTTAAAACACCACCGCCAATTCAAATCCTTGGATCCTTACAGAGAGACCCATGAACTCACAGACTCACATGGTTCGCAGACTTACGCAGAGACCCATAGTTGTGTACGCCGGGTGCTGCAATAGAACAACTGCCACTCGGGGGAGGGCCCACTTGGTTAAACCGCAGTAGGACATTCGAATGCCTTGAGATGTAAGGGGCTCTGAGTTGCTAAGCCATTATTTAAGTGCCCGCTAAATGCAACTCCTAAACATTGAATTCCTTTATCCCGGCGGTGGGGAACCTTTTTTTCTGCCAAGGGCCATTTGGATATTTATAACATCATTCGGGGGCCAAACAAAATTATCAACTTAAAAATCAGCCCGTTATATTTGGGTCAAACATTGAATTAACTCACCCCTAATGTGATGACTGGAACTGCTTCTCTTTGGCGAGGCGTGTGATGTTAGCTGGCATTGATGATGTTGTTGCTACTCGCAACTGCTTTTCCAGGTTTGCTCCTAGAGATTTATTGAATTTCGAGTCCCGCCTGCGGTTGCCTCGGCAGAGCCACACCAAATGATTTTTCGGGCCGGACGTTCCCCACCCCTACTTTATCCTGACCTACCCCCCCCACCCCAATACCCCCCCCCCCGCATCTCCATCACAGACGGCGAAGACGGTGCTCGTGCTGGTCGTGGTGTTCCTCGTTTCGTGGCTGCCGCACCACGTCATCCTCCTGTGGGTCGAGTTCGGCTCCTTCCCGCTCACCAACGCCTCCTTCGCCTTCCGCATCGTGGCCCACTGCCTCTCGTACGGCAACTCGTGCGTCAACCCCTTCATCTACGGCTTCCTGTCGCAGAACTTTCGCGAGGCCTACCGCCAGCTGCTGCGCTGTGAGGGCCGCGCGGTCGGCGGAGGAGGAGGCGGCGGCGGCGGCGGTGGTGGAGGAGGAATCATCGGAGGGGTCGGAGGCGTTCCGCGCGTGTCCGTGACGGCGCGCTCCGTGCATTACCGCAACGAGCACACGTCCGGGGGAACGCTGTCACTCACCTGCCTCTAGACCCCCCCACCAGCCCGCCCGCCACTGCTCAGCTCCACTGATATCCTCACCACCATCCTCTCCCCCTCCACTTCCCACCCCCATCGTGTCTCAGCTGCCATCGCTCCACCGTGAAGGAGGCTGCGGCGGCAGAATGAACGTGGGCAGAATTAACAAATTGCGATTGGGGTGTTTTGTTTTTCTTCAGCTCGGGTTGTAAGTGCGTTGTTCGTCTCTTCTTTGGTCACTTTCTCACTGGTCTCACAATGGCGCTGTCAGTGCTACGATGTGAGACGGATCGAACGCTCGGTGCGTGTGTTCGAGAATGGCACCGTGGAATGAGACATTGTAGAACTGCTTCTGGAAATCCTCACAAGTGACCTCTCTTTTAAACAATCTCTGCTACCACAGCAACGCCAGTCACGTGGCAATCAAACTGACATGATTAAATTGTCAGAGCTGGGCGTTGAGCCAAATTAAGTAAAACAAAATCAAACATAACGTGATGTGTTTGTGAAGTCATTGGTGACCAGCCTTTAGACCACCATCTCACTACACTCGTGAACCCATTTTAATCACGGATAGCTGAAACCCGGATTCACACCCTAGGATCTCAGCGGTATCCTCTGAGCATTCTCTCTCACTCCTGAAGGTTGCTCTTGGGACGGACTTGGCCCAGACATTGGGATGTGTAATTGTGTTTCAGTGGCCGTGGGTGTCCCGACTTGATGCGGCAGGATAATCGAATGCCTCCACTTTCAAGAGTATGGAACAAAAGCTGGAAAGTGTTCAGGGAAGCATGGAGGGGACACGTGCCTGGAAATACTCCGAGGGACAGGAAGAGAAAGACGTGCATTCGACAATATACGGAGGTGTATCAGCACGGTTGGCTACGTACGTTGCGAAAGAAGTTCAACATATGTAGTGATGCACTTCACAGACAATAGAATGGGAGGCACTCTGTTGATCAAGGCCCTCTCAGGCACAGGGAATAACTATGCTGGGCAAGGACAGCAACAGGCTGCCTGAGCAGCAACGCTGAAGATCTTCTTGGTTCTTTCGGTAAAGTCACGTAGAAGGGAAGTAATAAAATATATTATATTATTTATTATTATTTTATTACTTCCCTTCTACGTGACTTTACCGAAAGAACCAAGAAGATGAATCCCTGCAGTCACGAAAGCTTTAAATCGAAATTAAACGCTGAAGATGATGACGAAGACGATGACGAAGACTCACGTAGCTCCACAGGTTCCCACTCCCAACAACAGCCCCGAGTCCTCCACGGGGTCCCCCTTTTATTCTCCTAGCGCAGCCTCGCTCCCCCTCGGCCACGCCCCCCTTCCAGGAGCTACCAGAAGGTCATCGGGGCTTCCTCTCACCTACCCCCTCCAGAGGCGTAGCTAGAGGGGGGCAGGGGGGTACATGTGTCCCCGGGCACCAAGGTAAAGGGGCGCCATAATGAGGCTTACAACGTTACATTATAACTTATTGCGGCGGGTGCGGCAGCCTGAAACTACTGCACACATCTACACCTCAACCTAAAAGTTTATATATCCCGCCACACACAGCCTACCTGTCATGTAATCACATTTTGGTATGTGATTAAACGGGGGGGGAGGGGCGCCAATTTTATAGTTCGTCCCCAGGCGCAAAATATCCTAGCTATGCCACAGACCCCCTCTGTCACCTTATCCCCGCATCCCTTCCTCTCGCCTATCCCCTGACCTGCTGGCCGACAGGGCTGCTACAGCAGCAGGTCACCTTTTTGCCAGCAACCCGCGCTCCCTGCCATAGTGATCCATTCCATGTCACTACACATACATGAAAGACTCAATTTTGACTCAAGAAAAGCAAGTGGGCTCGGTCATGAGACGTCGTTAGAGAAAGGGGTGATGGCTGCTGGTCAAGACCAAAGATGGAGTGGTAGCCAAGGGAGATAATGCACCCGAGTGGACGTCCACAGCGGAGATGAAGCGATGATTGTTTTTAGACGGAGAGGACACGAACACCTGGACACATCTCATGACCGGCCTTCTTCAGGAAATACGGAGATTTAAGGTCTTGGCAGTGGGTGGATATGCGCATTTGACTGTGTGGACATCCACGGGTCTTATCAGTTTGCGGAATGCGACTGCTCTATTAAACCTGCTGTCATGAATATGACTGAACGTGAATAATCCTTTTGGAGATAGGAGTCCAGCAAAGCTGATGCATCACGAATTCCTGCATGTGTAAATCAGCCCGACGGGAATGTTTAATGGATTTTTTTTATATTGATGCCATGACAAATGTGAATACATGTGAATCATCAGCCCATGTTTGTGAGATAAATCATCGTGGTTTCTCCCCACCGCAGAAATGTGGAATTGTCATCGCTGACTCTGTGGTGGCAATTCCACAACGTTCACAACTCATAAAACTCATGAACACGTGACACTCCTTTGAGGATGGTGACAATTTAATTTGTGTGTGCCATTGTTTTCCAAATGCTTGTTTCATTTAAAAAACAATACTCATAATTAACCCCCAACTTCAATTGCATTGTCTTACGTGTTCACAGCATTCCTACGACAACAACAACATCAGGAACGTGCGTTTATATTGTGGCCATACTTTTTGGGGGGGGGGTTTCACCTAGGGGACCCTCTGATGGAAACTGTCCTCTGAATCATATCCCCTTGTGATCCACGGGACCTGCGTTGAAGACCTTTGCGACATGAAGCGACAGCCGAGGTGGAAAACGAGCGCGCATCATTTGGGCACAGCGGACGTGAAGCTGCACAGATGGATGTTTTCACTTATTTATTTCTCTACTTATTTATTTCGCTCTTCCTCCGTTCCCTAAAGGACCAGGCCCTGGAGCGCACCAGCCTCGCCATCGCAAACCGCATCAGGAGGCGCTGATCGGTGTTGATTGACGGACACGACAATCCGTGTTCGCGGGACGCGCGGTGTGTGATGTAAATGAGCCGATGTGAATCGTGCTGGGGAATCGATCGTCAGAGGAGGGGGCGTTCGACCGCGATGCTCCCCCGTGAATGGGGGTGAGGGGGCTATCGATTGAGGCCGTGGGGGGGGGGGCATGCCAATACGTCCCACTGACCGAAACCGCTCTCTCTGCACTAATAGAGCAGATAAACATCCAGGCGGAATGCTCACAGCCGCGGCGATGGAGCTGCCGTTGTAATCGCCACCAACGCGCTCCGTCGCGTCGGATTTCGCGAAGCTAAGCAGGTCTGAGCCTGCTGTGCACACTGACGAGGGGCTGCTTGAGAAGACCAGCTGGTGTAGGTGTGGGTGTGTGTGTGTGCTGCGAGTCAACCAGGGAATAGCAGTGCAGAAATAGGTTCTTGAAGCAATCTAAGCGGAGCTTCGGAGCGTTACCCACCTCTTAATGCGAGCGGTGGTTTTGTCCGCGTACCCTGGTTCCCTACAACATGAAGCTAAACACGAATGGACACGGCCAACTTCTCAATGGAGGATGCTCCTCCTGAGACTTTCTAGATTTAAAACAAAAAGAAAAAATTATCGTCATTTTTAATAACAGTACGGTCAAAATGTTCTGCTGTTGTTCATCCCACCACTGAATTCCGACCTTCCAACACCGTGCTGGTCGTCGCCAATATTTAACCATACTTCACCACACTGGTCAGCGCGCGTTGGTGAAGGGTCAGGGGTTTGCCAGTAGCCGTTCAGATGTCACTTCGCCACTGATGTTTGCTGGGTTCAAAACGTGGTGTGCGCTAACCACTGCATGCACTGTTCCACTACTGCACCCCCAGAAGGCCATATATATATATATCCGTGATTAAATGAGATTTTGTTTTAATGTCCCTACATCCCCTGTGCGTACTTGCCAACCCTACTGGCTTAAGCGTGAAGCTGCCTGCTTTTTATAGTTTAACCCCTTTCACCGCGTGCCGATTTGCAAAGCTACCCACGACACGTTGTACAACGTTAGAATTGGTTTTCTTCACGGATCGGTACGTGGCACGGTGGCTCAAAGGTCGGCAGCCTAACCACTCAACTCGGCACACCGCTCACCAACGCGTTGCAATCGGCCGTCGTAGGCAAGAGTCAGCGAGCCCACATGAAGATGTAGTTCACTTGTTGGTACCACCTGAGAGGTGGCATTAGCTTAACGATTCCAATTTTCTTTACACGGCCATGTGATGACCGTTTGAAATTTGGTGGGGTGGTCAAATAATGTATTCTCATTAGCCGTATGAATAAATCTGTACGACTGAAGCGTTGCTGTCTTAGATGGTACCAATTTTTGCAATGGCCCATGGACTATAGAGGCAAATGTTCTGTATTTTTGCGTTAAACAGAGAGGCCTCTTATTTTAAATGGCATTCTCTTGCCAATAACATCTGGTAATCCAACAGTAATTGTTTCATAAGCCTGACTGCTGACGAGAGCCAGAATGTCGAAACCGGTCCAGAGTTTGCTTGCCTTAATATTGCTGCTAGACAACATTGGCCTGAATAGCCGATAGGTTGATTGACTAGCACATATATTTATTTACCGTGTCGAGAAAGAGAACGGAGTTCTGCTTCATTGGAACCTCATTTGCCAATAGAAAAATATGATAATTGGTTTTTTACCCTTTTATCTGGCAACAAAACTGACACATTTTTTTACGAGGAGTCATGTTTGCATAGACCACAATACCTGCAGTCATAATGCAAACAAAAAACATAACTCTGATAATGTATGCACTGTCCTTGAAGTTGATTGGTCCACACCCGAGACAGCTTTCCTTAGAGCCTAGTCTCACATGGGTTGGACCAGTTGACGCCCAAAGGCGCACAACTTCAAGGACAGTGCATACATTATCAGAGTTAATGTTTTTTGTTTGCATTATGACTGCAGATATTGTGGTCTATGCAAACATGACTCCTCGTAAAAAAAGGTGTCAGCTTTGTTGCCAGATAAAAGGGTAAAAAAACAATTATCGGAGTTCTGCTTGTTAAAGATAACGGTGCAACCCTGCGATTGGTCACTCACGCCACCCACTGCTGGCGGCAGGGCCTCCGCTCTAGAGGTAGTTTGGAGGACCACACTTCCACGCCGGTCAAACGTCTTGGAATTGGTGGGAGTAGCCACACTCTACCCCGCCACACGCGGCACCTGCCGATCGACTAACCGTGGTGCGCCCATTTATAGCTGCCGGGTGGACAGAGGCGGCACGGTGCGAAAAGCAGCTTGCCTGCTAAAATAATAACAACGCTGGGTGTAGTCCAGCGTGAGATAACCATGACACCACTGTGGCAGCATCTCTGCGGCCCGAGTGGCAACGTGTTAACTACCTCGCCTGGTATGCAAGAGGTTGTGGGTTCGATCTCGACCCTGACGCCTGCTGCTGCTGTATATTTGGAGTTTGCGCGTTCTCCCCGTGGTCGCGTGGATTTTTCTCCGGGTCTTCCGCTTTTTTCTCTCCACATTTAGAAACATGCGTTTAGAGTCATTGGCTGCTATAAATTTTCCACGTGATAAGCCACGTCGCTGAGCTATCATTCGTGGCCAGGGCGCTTCTAAAATCGGGCTATATAGATCAATAGTGGGCCTTTCCTGGTGGTAGAAAAAAATGGCATTGCAAAACTCTGCAGCTCAGTCCCACAGGGATATTTGATATTTCACTTCAGCACGGGATCAACTTGTCAAGATCGTAACGCCATCACTACCCCCCACAACTATCTATAGAAGTCCCCACCTCCTTAAATTTACTCTGGCAGCATCATACCCCTCGTCCCCCATCATTGCTCTTAAATCTTTGGGGGTGGCAAGCACCTACCCCTACGTGGCATACACACTGTGTGCACGCAGCTCGCCTGCGAATTTATTAATAATAATAACTCTGTGTAAATCTAATTGTTGTTGTGATTTAAGCTAAAATGTTACACGAGCTCATAACCTACCAATCGACCATACTAATAACATTGTTAAACATTGGAGGCATTTTCTCTTATTTGTGTGATCCGCAGGCTTGTTTCGGTAATGTGTCGGTGAAAATGCGTGTGAGGGAGTGCTTGAGTTTGCGCTGTTTGGTGTTGGGAGGGTTTTCACGAT